GGTCCCCTCCCTCCCCGGGCACAGCGGGCCTCCGTCAATCACCGAGCAGAGGGCCCGCGGAGACCACGGGTACAGGTGCGGTCCCACTCGCCTGCCCGGCCGTGAACGGATTACCGAGGGGCAAGCACTGTGCCAGGGAAGACGGCCCAGAGCGGAGGGTGGACCCAGCACCCGGGGCAGCCCCCTCCTGACACCCCCTCTCCCCCCGCAGGCCCAGCTGTACCTCCCAGCATCCTCTTGGGCGGCAGGGCAGGCACCATGCGGTAGGGGAACTTCTGCAGCAGCAGCGCGTGGAAGACCACGAAGTCGTTGTACCGTCTGTACACGGAGGCCCGGAAGCGCTGCAAGGCCAGGTCCGCCTCAGCCGTGGCACCAGCGGGTCCACCTCCCAGCAGGACCCGCGGAAGTGACACCTCCCTCCCTCATGGGCCCGCCCACCCCACCGAAGGCAGACCCCCCTCCCTTGTCTGGTAACGCAGCCGCTACACACTGCGCAGTCCGATGTCACGGAACCACATCATCTGGGTCCGAGAGAGAACAGCGCATTCTTTTGGCAGGACCCGCGGAAGTGACACCTCCCTCCCTCATGGGCCCGCCCACCCCACCGAAGGCAGACCCCCCTCCCTTGTCTGGTAACGCAGCCGCTACACACTGCGCAGTCCAATGTCACGGAACCACATCATCTGGGTCCGAGAGAACAGCGCATTCTTTTATTTTAATCCTCACCTGAGGATATCTTTCCATTGATTTTTAGAGAGCGGAAGGGAAAGGGAAAGACGGAGAGAAACACCGATGTGAGAGAGACACATCGATTGGTTGCCTCCTGCACACCCCAGGCCAGGGCCGGGAGCCGCAACTGAGGTACGACGTGCCCTTGACCGGAATCGAACCCGGGACCTTTCAGTCCGCAGGCCGACGCTGTATCCACTGAGCCACACCAGCCAGAGTGAATAGTGCATTCGTTAGTTCACTGGGGGGTGTCCTCAGCACACACCTGCAAATAACGCTGAGACAGCAGCTCCGCCCCCCAGCGTCAGACCAGACACGGAACGTGGACTGAAATGGTGTGCACAGCGGGCTGTGGACCTGTGGGCCCAGCGCTGGGGAGGCTGCCGGCTGCAGAGGACAGCGTCCTCGTCACCAGGGAAGCCCGGCCTGGGTCCAGCATAACCAGAGATCGCAGGAGAAACGTGCGTGCGCAGCTGTGTCTAAAGCTCAACATGCACCCTAGTCGGTGTGGCTCACTGGATAGAGCGTCGGCCTGCGGACTGAAGGGTCCCAGGTTCGATTCCGGTCGAGGGCACATGCCCGGGTTGTGGGCTCGATCCCCAGGAGAGGGCATGCAGGAGGCAGCTGATCAATGATTCTCTCTCATTGATGTTTCTCTCTCTCTCTCCCTTCCTCTCTGAAATCAATAAAAAAATAAAATAAATGAAAATAAAGTTCAACATGCTACACTGATGGCTAATAACAATACTCAGCGGAAAAACCGGTCTGAGGGGGCTACACGCCGAGTGATTCCGAGTCTGGGACGCTCTGGAAAAGGCAAAACTGTGAGGGCAGGGACGGTCAGTGGTTGCCCGGGGTTACGGGACGAGGAGAGGGGTGAGCAGGTGGAGCCCCGGACACCAGGCAGTGAAACTGCCCTGCAGGACACGACACGGTCATGGGACACGTCATATGCATTTGCCCAAACCCACAGCACGTCAACCCCGAGGGGCCCTGGGCCACGGCAGGTGATGTGCGGGTCAGTGCCGCTCGCTGAGGGAGCCAGTGCCCCACGGGGGGGGACATGGCCGAGGAGGCCGCGCATGGGGGCAAGGCCGTGGGAGAGTCCGTACCTCCTGCTTCACTTTGCTGTGGCCTAAACCCGCCCCAACGAGAGCGTCTGTAAAAAGCACTGAAAGTGCGGATGGGAAGAAGCAAGAAGTTGGGGGTGTCCACGCTACTTGGGATCCCACCGATGAGACTGCCCGGGGCAGGGGTGCAAGGGGGGCTAGGCCACCAGCAGACAGCGGACGGCCCTGCCGGCGGCTCCGCGGTTAGAGCGCCGGCCCCTGCACTGAAGAGCCGCAAATTCAATGCCCAGTGAAGGGCACGTACCTGGGTGATAATTCACTCCCCGCCCCCGGTCCGGGTGCGT